AGCTATTGTTCTAACATCCTAATTCAAATTAATGACCATCCATTGATGCCTGCACGCAATATCTCGTCTGGGTTGAGGAAAGTTTGTGTGAAATTTACTGGTATAGGGATGTCTTCATCATTTTGTGAGCATGAACGTAACTCATCTAATTAAAAAATTTTTGTCGATCTGTAATTATTTACAAGAATATTCCGGCAAAATCACTTTATTTATACAACTCATATGAGTGGGGCCGGGATCACCTCTGTGGTCGATCACATATAGCAATGACAAGGTACATGGCGGGTCTCCACGAGGTGACTTCATAGTTCGCTCAAAAACCGAAATGACAATACATGTAACGAAACTATTGATGAAATTATTATATTGAAAGGCGTTCCCTAACAATAGTTTTTTGGCCCCTTTCAATGTGTGCCTTCATGCTTTATAAAAATAAATGAAGTGATTTTCAACAATAGTTCCGTGAAAAATAATATGAATTGGTATTTTTGCGCCGGTATATACAATTTGCGCTATGCGCACTCTGAGCTTGGTCATGTCCTGAAATTTTCTGCATTTGCATTTGTTGAAAGCCCAACAAGTATTTCCTCTTTTACAGCCTGCTCCTCTGGTCCACTTGCTGCATAATTGAAGGTATTAAAACTTGGGCAACCAGCCCGCGCACTCCTCTTGATGAACATACGTGCATGTACTTAACCGGCGAGCGGTAATTATTGTAATCTACCCACACTCTACCTGGCATTTACCTAACGAAATCATACTATTAATTCAACTGCGCTCAAGGATATTAATAATTTGAAACACTCGACGTCCCTAACACAAGAAGGTGGTTCTCTTGTTAGAACTCAGTTTTATTCTTGTTGGCAGCACGACAACGCAAGTTTTCACGTTGTTAATGACAATGAATCTTCTTTACCTCTCAACGGAATGAAAGTATATTATTACTTATTAGTGCTATTCAGACATGTTGCTCTTGATATTGACAGATGCAAATAGTGATAAACGACATTGTTAACGGAGCACTGCGGATCTTAGCCCAATTTTGGCCTCTTCCATCCGCACAAGAAACAATGAGCTGGACCCTTCGTTATGGATGCCATGTCATGTAGCCGATTGCCATAGAAGAATTTAACCTCGTGACCTCCCGTTGAATCCCATCTCGAATCACCTTAAATATGAACTAGCGTCTCCTGAAGGAACGCAGGCGTAAAAGCTTACGAAGTATTCGAGCAATTCAGCCAAGAACTGCAATATATTATAAGAGCCACCTGTAGAACGAGGAGTTCCTCGATCATCAGGATCGATTGTGGCTTGGCGAAATGAGTTATAGATCTCACGTTAATTAATTTGGCAGTTGAGCTTCATAGCATTACTAGTTTTTGAGTAAAAGCTTACTAATTCTGAACAATTACGTTTAAGAAAATAACTGAGGCCAGCACTCGTCATTCATACTTTGCAGATGAATGCAGGATTGTCGTTTCATTAGTTATGATGAAATCTGTACAGGGAAGGTGCTGCTAGCGTGTGACTCTTTCTAAGAAAATAAACTGAAATTTACACACGACACTTGCTTATCAAGCTTGTCAAATATGTATGGACGTTCATCAATCATTCAACACGACGCTCCGCTCATTCCTCAGTTGCAAAGAGCACTTAGTTCCACAATTAAGAGTGGTTGCAAGAAGCGTTACCTTTTAATCACATCTCACATACCAGAGCTACCTGTACCTCCTGACTTCCTCTGTGCCTGCAGGCATGCTACTTTCAGCACGATTTCCAACTAAGAGGCAGGCTTCGGGTCGTGATGGTGTAGTTGTTCTTCACCTCACCAATGAAGCAGCGGTTCTCAGGTTGAAACACTTGGTTGTGACGCTCAATGCAATAACGCAGTGAATCCCTTTTTCATCCAATTGTAAATATTAATTAATGTATCAAAATGTTCGTATTAAAAATAAACGGATTTATCAAGCGGATTTTCGTATGCAGTCGTTAGATAGGCTGCAGAATTTCTAATGTACGCACAACGCACACGCTGTTGCACCGTCGATCTATTCTTCCAGCCTTGTCTCTCAACTTTCGTCTCAAGTTTTGTCGAGTCATCGTCGGGCGACAAGAGCCAAAGAAATCTTCCAAAGAAACATCAGAACATCACCCAAAAAACTCCCTCCTATGGTGCTTAATGGAATTGCTTTGCATTCTTGAGACAAGTTTTGCGAACGAACAAACCGTTCTTTTGGAGATAAACTTTTCGTCCAGGCAACTAGGCGTCAATAGATTGCAAAACCTTTTAATATTTCCAATTAAATAGAACTCATGCTAATTGTAAAATACTTTGTAATCAATCTGTCTGAGATTTTTTCAATTATACTCAGAGGAAAATTTCGAAGGAATTATTATTATTATTATTTTCCAAAATCTTCCAGCGACCTGCGTTGGGTATAGTATTCCATGGAAGCCTAAAAGAAGCCGGAAATGGATTCAATTACTGCTCAGAGAATAGCTATAAAAAATCCGGTCCAAGTTTTTTGCAGTGAAATCAAGCGAAAAACAGAAATCTGTAGTTGTTAGAGATCAACACGAGCGAGTCTAAGCAGGACTAATTCCAAATCCTATATGTTCCTGGGAAGAAAGATCCAACGATATGAGTTTCCAGTTTTCGTTCATGGGTTCCGCATTGGATGTGAAATCCCGGCTTATCCGCTGGACGGGGAAAGGAATGAAATTGACAAGAGACTTTAGTGTCGAATCTTGAGAAGACTTGTCCAGTATAAATACTCGCTTTGAACACGCTCGATAGGAAGGTAGAATTTTCATCTGAAACTGCATGTGTACAACATCCGACTGGCTATAGTTCTTTAACCGTCTTCGGTATTAAAGTTTTGTGGAGAAATTTCCCTCCCCACTAAAAAAAATAGAACTAATTATTCATTATTTTATAATTTTATTTTATAATTTATAATATTTAATAGATAATTATTCACTAGACCAATTTTCACGAGTTCATCTTATTAGTTAATCTTCGAATACACATTAACTTTTAGTTAAAGAAAACGCATCCTACAGTTTATGAGCGAGATCTCTAAGGCGACACACTGAAAATGCAATTCTATGCCACACGTGTTATGAGCCACGCTGCTTGCACCACAGTTTCCGATTTATTTGGTAGGTGGCTTAGTCACGAGAAAGCATCGTGCATTGCGCAACAGGTGTAAAATTCTTATCCAAATTCTAGCCAGAGTCACAACTATATTGTAATTGTACGAGAATTTCCGACTCCTAGCTGAGCAATGCTTACGATATGCATGAATGTCGCGTCTCAGCTTCAGACATCCGGCACCGTGTCAGGGCCGAGACGTGTGCCCGGGTTCATATCCTGTGCAAGGCATAGTTAGGCTAGAGTGGGTTAAAGGCATAATTAGGCTAGAGTGGGTTAAATAGAACGTTTCAATTACAAGGTTAACGTTGCAGTTGAATCATTAAGGGCTTTAGGCAGTCCACGATGGATTAAGACTAGATTAAATAATTTTGAAAATTGTGTATTTTGCTTTGAACGATTTTTGTTCTTTTGGATGTCAATGACAGGAGTGCCATGTCCTGCTAGAAATTAAGCATCAACTCGTTGGTTATTGACGAGTAGGTATTCTTCAGTTTGATTATTCCTAAAAAGTTGACCACAATGGAATGTCACAGATAATGTCGTATATTACTAACAACGGTAGTTTTATTTACTTAAAAAATGTAGTCTAATAGGCAATTTCATGGAAATTGTTCATGCGGACATCAGTACGCTGAAAAAGTTGCTCAAGTTACACGCTATCAACTTGGATTTTCCAGTCTAGGCGCCAAGGCCGGTTGGACAGCAAGATACGCACTTGACACCAATTCTTGTGAGCCATGCTCATCTCAGCCGCAGCCATCATTGAGAGTAAAAGCTACCTTGCGAAGTATGTCGCCTTGGACAAGGCCTACTAACGTATGGGTACTTCACAGTAAGGGCTGGCCGACGGGAGCAAGTTTTTAGGAATGCGGTTATGAGTTGCTCATCTTTTCTCAGAAGCCGCGATCGATGCCTCGCACGGCGCACTCCTAACTCTTCTTAGAATGAGTCGTCAATGCACATTTTCAAATTTAGTAAAGTTTTTTATGGAATAAATAGAACAATGTAATGCTGAAAACGGCACAAGTTAAATGAGGGAAAAATATACAATTCTATCAATTTTTCAACAATTCAAGTTTAATGCATAAGAAGACATGATGTTAAACTCAATATGAATATCCTCAGGTCTTTAGGAATATCCATAAATGGCTATTTAATTTAGTAACTGATCGCAAAAGAGAATTGTTGACGATAAATTTACAGTCATTCATCGGTCAATTAAATACTGATATACGAAAAACTTTCCTCTTGGCTATCAAAGGATTATTAACATTAATGCCGAACTTTTTTCAGATCGATCATGAATTAAGCAATTATAATCGATAACATTTCCTTTTTCTGACGATCCGTTACGTATTTTTTTTAAGTAAAAAAGATGGAATTGTAGGAAGATCACACCAAGCATTAGAAATATTCTACTCGCATTATTACATCTCTGCCATAAGAAATACATTACGCTCTGTTGAGAAATGTAATTCCATGTATGCCGTGCTATGACGTCGTCATCAAAGATGCAGAGTATACTACGTAGTTGACTAATTTAGCCAATGGTGATTGCAGGAAGCACTACGTCACTAAGCTTAAATCTTAACAAATTGATTAATTATTGTATAAAATCACTGAAATTCTGAATTAAATAGTAATAAATCTTTACAAGTATACTACAACATTGGAAAATATTTGTATGCACAAAATCGCCCCTTATAACGATTTATGTGTATTACTTGTGTCTGAAAATACTCTGGAAGCAACTGGCAACTGCATGGAGAACAGCCAATCAGAAAGCTCTCGTCAGTGTTTGAGGTCATCCTACTTGAGACCGAAGCTGAGCTACCTAACCTCAAGTCCGAGTAGTCACACAGATGCAGCCGGTGTGTGTAGATGTAGTGATTGTGTTCCAGCACGTGCACAACACGAAAGGCCTGTGACGTACGTTGGTGTCAGTTCAAGAGTAATCGGAAGTTTCTCATTGTGGGCCTTGGGCCTTCTGAGTTTCAATACTTTATACTGGTTCATGAGAGCAAACTTTAGCGAGTGGTGACAGTGCAGCGAAAAGTGACGCTTTGGATTAAACGGGACTAGATTAAAAGTAAGTGAATTTTATGTTTTTTTTTCGTCGACTAAGAAACAATGATTTAGCCTAGTTTATTTGCTTCATGTTTGATTCAATAACAGTTGACACATTTCAATTTTCATTGATAAAGTTCTTAGACACGTAAGTGTGCTTAGAAAGTATTCCATATCTGTTACAGGATTTTGCTGCTACAAATGCTAGTAACGAAGAATACTAGTTGCTGATTTAAATGCATCAATTTTAAATTTTTTTTCAAGCTCTGTTACTGTCTCAAGTATATTACTAATCTTTTTTTTACCACATGCGATGACCATTATTAAATATTGTACCTAGAAGGCTGGAATGTCCAATTTTATTGATTAAAACCCATTCGAATTTTGTTTGAATTTTAACGGATAGCTAATGAAACATACCTACATAAGTATCGACTCCGGTTTTTCTATAAAACTGCACAACCTACCTACTACTGTGGAATTGTGACACTAAACCCGAATGGTTGTGGAAAATTATCCGCCCCTAAATGTTTGAATTCGAACGGGAGTAACGGGACAGAATTATATTCGACTGCAAGGAAATTTGGGATATTTGTGTCATGTGCAGTCTTCGGCACTCACACTGAAGATTAAGCGGCGACAAATTGTGTCTGTAATTACGGTGCTTGGGCGCCATGACGACAGCCCAGCAAGCGCCGGCCACCGATCATAGGCATGGTTTAAAACCTGTTCCTCAACGGGTTTATTTGCAAGTGCCGCTTTCTTGAAGTCTCAGAAATTCTTAGCATTCCTCATTAGAAGGCCGCCCAGTCTTACTTTTTATTCTTTGCTCTTTTCCTGTAGCTAAAATGCAAACCTTGGGCCGCATGGCCGCTTTCCGGTGGCGCCGGTAGTTTTCGAAAAAATATAAATTGCTTATTTTATTGGAACTGCTTTCTTAACTTACGAAGTTGTATTCATTCTTCACCTAGCCTGAAGCCGCTCTTTTGTTTTGAATTCTTCCTCTCAGTTTGTTTTAAATTGTTTGTCATGTTCATTTCCTTCTACGAAACATTTGGTGGACTTGTACACCTTTTACTTAAAGGACGAGGAAACTGTGCGCGTTGAGTGCTCATTTGGAATAGTCTTAGTTTTCTGATATGGTTTGCCCCAGCAATTTTATTTGACTTTCTGGAAAGGATTTTCTGTTGCTGCATCTTAAGTCTAGTTTTGTGTTATCTAGTTAAATATTTCAGGTTCGTTATATATTTTTTGTTACATTATTATTGTTATGTTCTTAAGTTAAATATAATCATATTATGATATTAAGTTCTTGCGAAACTTTGGGCACAGCTCTCCCGAAGCGCACTATTTTTTATCTGAATCTATATATGCCAGTGCATAGAATATTCAACTTACCCGTCAATCATTTCTGAATTCGAATGAAATTTTTCACCTGATCTTTGATTTTTCCCTTGAATCTTTAGGCAATAAATTCTATTTATGTATTCGAGAATTCATAAATTCTGTGTTACTTTTTATCTTGTTCTATTATGTCAATATATCGTTAGTTTCTTCTGCTTCTTCTTTCACGCACTTGAATCCGCGGCTCTTACACATGAGAAGTTCTGTTGGTATCTTCCATCCGAGGTCCGTCTCTCCCACACTCCTTACCGTTCTGCTCGCCCTCAACATTCTTCTCTATCCTGTCACCGCTTCCGCCCTCACACCTGTCGGTGGCGCTCTAGGTTGGGATCACACCGGGCTCCTCACGGTAATTTCAGACTCGTTCCTAGCGGCTCGGTGGGAATAGCGGCAGTAACCGCATGAGCAGCTGCCATGCGTCAACCAGATGATTATTTGGTGTACGAGGTGCTGTCGTGCTGAGGCCCGTGACCAGCTATTAGCAACTTACATTTACATGAGGATATCCATGATGAGTATATTTCTTCTAGGTTTTTACCGACTTTTCAGGATACTATCTTCACGATGACGTATTTAAAATGTAGAAATAATGAATTTGATACACAGAGTCTCGGCTCCTTTCATATGATTATTTAGAGCGATACTTCATATTGTTGAATGTTATAATTGGTATATTTACCTAAAAATATCCATAACATATTTTTTACCATTTATTTTCAGCTATTCAGTAAAATATAAATAAAATACTGGAGATATGTAAGATATTAACAGTCACGAGATATTTCCTCATCCATCCCCGCGCTCGCAGAGATATGAAGCAGCACAGACTTGTCAAAGGCAATGTGTAGCTAGCATGTTCGCGCGTAGTTAGGCTTCCGGGCGGCTCAGGCTGTTGGCGACGGCCTGCTGTGAGGTAAACAAGGCTCGAGCTGACTAATGCCATGCGACACCGTCGTCTTCTCAGAACTCTTACAGGCTTCTCTATTTGACGAGATTATTAATTCTCTCCAGGAATTCGTAAGAATATCTCGATTGGGACGAAGATGATGGAATTTTGTTTACTTTGAGCTCTTAATCTGAAATGTTGGACAAATTGGTCGATAAATATTCAGCTTGTCGTTGTTTACTCTATGGGTAAATTTTCACATCCTTTATTTATCTTAGTATTTCGGTATTCTTTGAAACTGAGCAGTTTGTTGCTATGAACATCTGATTTAGCACTAATTTTAATCCTTAAGTTCTGCAAAGAATAATCGTCGACAAATTTCAGCTTTTTTATTCATGATGAGAATTAGATGCCCGCAATGCTTATTACACAATACTCATTGAGTGAGCGGCGCACTTCATGGGACACCTACAATCACTACAAGAGCTCTAGCACTCCATATGATCCTGCTCTTCCTCTCTCACGTTACACCGCCAGGCTTCCGACTCCCAACGTCCCAGCTGAAGCCACACAAGCTTGCGTCCGACACACCGCTTCGGTTGCCGCTTGGCCTGACAGGCGTGAAGCCGCATAACTTACTGTGTATGGACATAAAGAGCTCTAAAATACATGCCATGATGCCAATAGTTAATGGTTGATTTCAAACCCCCACTTTGACTTCATTGCTGTTTATCGAGAATAAATTGATAAATTTCTATTTTGAGTTGATTGGTTTTAATGTATATCTCAAAAATATCGAAGTTCCTTTACCATAACATGGCTTTGCTGTTGATTTCTGCAAACAAAGTGTGACTTTTAATGAGATTTGGCGCTCTCTAAATTAAGCAGGAGACTAAGTCTCTATCTATACCTTATCCTGCATGTTGAAATTAGATTTTTTCGTTCACTACATTGGTAGCAGTGCTCACCTTGTACAAAAAAATCTTCGTTTCTTGTTTGAAGAAAAGAGGCATTTTAAAACGGGAAGTATTTGTTCTAATAGCTTCAATTCACATTTATTTCCGTCTTGTTTTTTGTATTCGCCTAATGAAGTTAATGTTGCTTTGTCAATTCATTCCCTCGCGCGCACTTGTTTTCCCATTGCACACCCACAAGAAGTTGGAACAATGAAGGTACCTCTTTATGTTTATCAGGTAGAGTGCCATTGATGTTTATTGTACAGGCCGTCTTTATGTCGCTACAGAGGACAATGACCGCAGTGTTCGTGTATAGTTGCCTTGTTATCGCAACACCATTTGCCGGGGCTCGTTCGTTTGCTGTGGGTGCGTCGCTAGCATCCGGTGCGCACCTTAATGCTGTGCACTCTTCTTTTCAGTACATTTGCAGTGCACTTGTAGTCATGTTGTCGTAGGATGAATAAAGTTTTAGGGCTGAAGTTTAAGTTAATATTGGAATCCGAGGAACAACTTAGCGACAATTCTGAATTGTCGTGAGGAAATATACTGATATTTAAATACATAAATTGATCATGTATGAAAATAATCATGGCTTGTTACCTTTCTGTGACTACACATGTATAAGGTTTGTTCTTGTCGACTACCATCTTCCATTTCTGAGCAATATGCACGAGCGACGAGGCCATAATTTCCGCGTTCGTTTTGAGGATGGGCAATTTTTCGCCCAAAACAAAGGCAGGGCGTCGAGCACAAATGACTTGTATTCTCCCCGCCCATGGAAGATCTCGCCTGCTTATGGCGCGACCGCTCCTTACAGGGCACGCGCATGCGCAGGGTTAGGTGCTGCGCCGCGTATTGTGCTGAGTACCATCATGTTATGGTGCTGTGGCCTGAGTACCATTATGTTATGGTACTCTGGCCTGAGTACATCATGTTATGGCACTCTGGCCTGAGTACCATCATGTTATGGTACTCTGGCCTGAGTACATCATGTTATGGTGCTGTGGCCTGAGTACCATCATGTTATGGTGCTCTGGCCTGAGTACCATCATGTTATGGTGCTGTGGCCTGAGTACCATCATGTTATGGTGCTCTGGCCTGAGTACCATCATGTTAGGGTGCTGTATAGTGCGCCAGTGCATGTCACCATGAAGTGAGATAGGGATCGGGGACGGGCAGTATGAGGGCGCAAATTCATTGAAGTCATGCAAATATGTTGCAAAATAATGAAACTTGAATACATTGGATAATTATTTGCTTCTCTTAGCTTATGAAAACGCAAAATTCTTTAGCACAGTTATGGATCAATCTTCTGCTGGCATATACAAGGGAGAGTGCTAAACTGCCTTCCCATATGCCACATGACATCTCAAGACAATAAACAATATTTTAAGTTATTGGTGCCAAAGCTGTCATTGCGCCATTATGACTTTACTAAGTACTTCTATAAATAAACCAAGTACGATGTATATTTCTTTGGTTCAAATTAGGCGCGAGAAACTCTCCGGAAACACTGATTGATAAAGTGCTATGCCACCACATAAATATAGTAGTACTATATATATTTTGATTGGTTCAAATGTCGTGAGAAACGAGTTTCCGGAAACACTGGTTGATAAAGCTCGAGCTAATGTAGCGATTTCTCTATGTGTGTAGATTTGTTTGAAGCCTGGCTCCACAAATGTATAAAGGTGATGTTCGGGCGCGTAACCGCGATGTTTATCCTATCAAGACCTGAAATTCTATTCTTAGTGGAAGAATAGAAATAATTAAAGGGAAAGGAGAAAAGGATTGGATCAGAACTGAAATTTTATTTTGTAAGTAGAAAAATATCGTTCAAGCTTTCCTGCTTGAAAGAATGTCGTAAACTCTTTCTCGGAAATTTTTGTTAGTCTGTGGTGTACTCTGGCTCCAGAATTCAATGGAAAACGTTCGCTTTAATCAGCTTTATGAGTATGATTGCGTCACGACGAGTCCTTGCGCAAGCGGCTCTTCGTATCCTGGACGTGATCAGAGGTGCAAGCTTGTGCCCTGCCTTCTCTGAGTCATCATATTTCTCATCTTTCCTATTGCCTTGACTCATCTCCTGCTGTCGTCACATTTTGAGTACATGAGGCTCCAGACACACCTAAGCTCTTTTCGTCTTCGCACTCTTTTGTTACAGCTTCCGTATTGCTTCAAAAATTTGGTTTAGAAGTTTCACCTGAGGTTTAAGTGATTTTGTCCTCTGTATTTACCGCTAGTGACGTCATCAGCTGTGTTCGAGGAGCGCTATCTCTCTGATCACCAAGTTTATCAATAATCGCTATAATAAGTCGTGGAATATGCGATTGTGCACTGTTTCCTCTCTGTTTCCTATAAGTTTTTTTTAACGTATTACTGCATTGTCGTCTACTTACCGGTAATTTCAGAGCCATATTATGTTTTCCTGCATCGAAATAGAAAGCCTCACAAACTAGTTTATTTCTTCACTGGCAATGCGGAATGAACTTGATCGCACACGAATCAAATTTTTGTTGTTAGCAGCCACCGTGCGTGTTTTCAATATCAAGTTTTTACTCACAGAATAACTCCCTCCACAATTGTATGTACTGCAGTTGCGTTTTAAAAGGATCGGTACGAGCTTACGACATTGATGCATTAGTAGTACGCTCCACACGTGTTGGAAGTCAACACGACGAGCTCCATTTTTGGATCCGTGTTCCTGCAGGTCGGAATTGTGCACTCACTTGAGTGCGTCCCACCCTATGCCTCTAAGTTTCACTTGTCCTTTACGACCCATTTTTGCCTTAGGAACCATTCTTGCCTTATAGACTCGCCCGTATAGAGCGGACGTCTAGTGTCTGGTAATGACGCCCGAGTTTCACTTCCATGAACTGCGTCATGTCACTTGCTTTTATTCGCGTTACCTGACAATTTAACAATAATGTCGGTTATAGGATAGTATAATGCACGGAAATAAGTAAAATTTCATTTTTCGACTTGTTCAACTTATTACTACTTTCCTGAAACATATTACACCTCAGTGCAGGTATCGATATGAATTTTCCAAGTTGTAGTGTCGAACAGTTTTCGTTCAATTATGAGGATGTGGTATTATACGAGTATTACGTTTAATGATTCAGTATTATAGTATAGTATGTCAATATTATGTAGTATAGTTTATGTCAACAATTTTTAATGACATAGGGGTTGAAAACGCACTCGTTTTCGTCAGTTTTGCTGTGTCCCGAAGTGTATATAATTAGTTGTTCAAAATTATAAAGCTGCATTTTTCTGAACGAATATTCTATATCGCCGAACGCGGAAAGATTTATTTACGAGTATCTCGATTTACTCGAACTGCTTCCGAGAATACGTCTTCAATGCGGACAATGTAGGCCTTTATTCCAGATGGTTCCTTGCGCTGCAATCTCGTTCCAAGTGCAAGAGATAAATCTTGTGGCGCTCAGTTGCTTGCGGCCAAGTTTCTAAATGTGTTTCTTTTGTGCCGGTAACAATGTTACGTTTGTCCGAACTCCTCGTGGGCGCAGGCCGCGACGATGACTTCAATGAAGCCTGCCCAACCGACGCCCGCATGATTTCGTGCACAAGAGAGTCTTTGTCGGCACTCCCAATGAAGCCTGACAAGTGGGAGCGTCATGCCATGCACTTCCTTACCCTTACTATTAATGGACAAAAGCACGATATTGCTTGTTGTGGTCGTTAGCGCCACCTTACGGTCACTTCTACCGATCCGGAATCTTTGTGGCGCGCTCGGTGGAACTTTCGTTGTCAGAATGTTTTTTGAACCAAGTTTACCAGTTTCAAGATCTTTTTGTTCCCAACTTAACTCTATCGCAAAAAATATCTCGCTTGAGTTTTCTGACATTAACCTTGAAATCAACGATTTATTGTTTTGAATAAGAATTTCGGTGTTACTATTTTAACGAATATTATTTCTTCTTGTTTCAGACGCCGAGATGCTGAAGCACGTCTCATACCGCGCCTCGAGTACCTCACTTACTCGTCCCTTCGGCAACTGCCGCGCCTCCAACACTCTCAGTCCTCAAGGAAAAAGTCCCTTGTTACACTCAGACAATGACTGCACCATCAGCGCTCCCAACTCACCACAAATTTCCCAATTTCCCCGTCACACACGTCATCATTCTATTACTCCAGACTCCAGTGCGATCATGCTCAGCAAAGATGAAGTAGATGGAGCTAAGCGCCACACAATCCAGTCAAAAATGCCACTCACTCCCAACTCCTCTCCCGTAGCAAACAACTCGTATCTCCACAACGTGTCAAACTTGAGTCCGACAAACTCCGGACACGTGCGAAATTCAAGTGAAGACTCAGTTTGTTTGAAGTCGGATGACCCGCTGGCGAAACATCAAAAAGACCTTAGGAACGTGGAGAGCATGGAGGTGCGAGCAGAACTCATGCCCGACATCAGTGCTCGGCAGAGGACAGAAGCTCCTGATAATATCAGCCTTCACTCGACCATGAGCTTTTCGTCGCTTTGTCGTAATGACCTCAGAGCTTCTTCGACCTCACTCGCCGCCCCAAAGGTGAGTCTTTCAAAGATCGAAATAAAAATTCGAATAACAGTATGCATTGTATTTTTGAATTAAATTGAGGAATGTTTGAAAAGAGGTGGAGCTATTTTGATTTTATATTGAACACTTATTTATTATTTGTTGAATGCATTATACAATTTCTTGCTTCTGTTTCTATTCGACTCGGTTAGTACGCAGAAACGCATTTGTATGTTTTTTGCACTTTCGAAAAGAATTTAGTCGAGAAAATTTAGTGGATGAGAATCATAATTGTTTAGTCGTCCGATATTTTTGGTATTAAGTAAGCGCATGACATATAACTACGCATAACGTCATTTTAAATTTCTTCTTACATACTGATTCTGCACACACGGAGGACAATAACTTGAATTGCTCTAATTATGACGTTACGGAATTTCATGGTGGCACTCTGGCATGGAAGCGCCAGGAGTTGGGGTAGAGGTCACGTTGCTCCCATAATTAAGCCACGATCCTCCCCACATTCCACCAACCCCTCTCTTCGACTTTCCTGCTATAATTCGTTTCTACCGGCGCAACTTAACCTTTCAACTTCCGATCAGTTATCGCCCGAGGTTTCGTCGTGTTCCTCTTTGCTTCTGTATTTTCGATACCCGACCACACACGGCTGTTCTCACGCAGTCTTAACAACAGTTAATTTTTTCCTTATTCCCACCCACAGGTTCCTGTACGCGTACACTTGCGCCAGCTTCGGCCTGACATTGAGTACAAGACGCTTCGACTCGACCCCGAGACGACCTGCCGTCAGCTAATCGAGCACCTGCTGCAGAAGTTGCGTCTCAAGCACCGCGACCCGAACCTGTTTGCGGTGGTGCTCGAAGTGGCCGTCAAAGGGCCTGGCGGGGCACCGCCGCTCAAGAAGCGCTTCTTGCTGGAGGACTCAGCGCGTCCCGTGGAGCTGCAGCAATGCCGCCCTCGGGGGGAGGCCAACTTCAGCGTGACCATGAGACGCGGTGGCGTCCTCAGGGTGCGGGACAGTATTCTTACGCCGGGGGTGAGTTTTAGGCAAACCATATAAAAAATCATGTCATAATGACTTCTTATAATGAAATTCTCGTGCAATTAAAATTACTTTCCTCTTAGCAGATTAGTCTAGAGGGTATTTCGGGCTCAACTGATTTCTGTTTTTTTTTTCCTCCTCAGTCTCAGTACAAGTCAGTGTTGGTGTCATACACGAGCTCGGTGGTCGAAGTAATCCAACTGCTGCTGCGATGCAACAACCGCACGGACGACTGGCGGATGTTCACACTGCACGAAGTTTGCGGAAATCCTTACAACGATCGACTCCTCAACGACGAAGACCGGCCGCTGTACGTGCAAAACTCGTGGCCGAAAAGCGAAAAACAAAAATATTCTTTGGTCTTACGAAGACATCTCACCCAAGGACTGATGGAAGATGCGGTAAGTTTATTACTTGAGACAGGATTTTCCATTGCACATGTTAAATAGAATTATCATTGATCGGATTCTCGTCTTGTGCCTCAATAAGTAATACTTGAAGGATTTTTTTTTGCTACGACAAACCAAGTTCATTTGAAGAGTTTTGTTCGTTCGCTTGTTATTGATTCCTCTGCGATATGTTATTATTAATTAGTATCTTCATCCTGTTCTTAGGAGACATGGCGGCGGTTAAGTATGGATGAGTGCAGTCTGGATGCCGACGCAGACTTGGATGAACATAATAGTTCTTGCAGCAGCATCCTCACTTCTTCGAGCAACTCCTCCAGGTCTCGTTCATCCATATCTTCCACAACCGCATCAGTACTCAGCCTTGCATCCATTTCTTCGAATGGATCGTCCAGGTGTTCGTTCTCTTCCAACAGCTCTTCAGGAGTGTCTTCTGGCTCAGGATCCTCCTTCACTGCCGCTGAAACTCCCGAGAAAAAACGCCCCGTACAAACAACTCGACGGATTCTTCCTCATATCCCGCGAGCTCAGACGCCAGTAGCTAAAGTATATCCCATTTCTGCTGAAGAAAATATTCAGTCGTACTTTACGATGCCTACTGATGAAGAAATTTCGCCTGCTTTAAATAGCAAACAAAGTTGTATTGTTCAGTCGGAAAGAAAACCATTTCCATTACCTCGAAGAATTCTGAGCTATCCTGTCGCAAATATCACTACTAGTGCCCAAGATGAAAAAATCGATGTTTTGACACCATTTTCCAAATCCTGGTCGTCTGCATCGTGTTATGTTCCCTTGACAGTCGCTAAAGCCCGAGGTCCAACTGCTCAGACTTGGCAGAACAGAAGTAGGACCGCTCGGATACGATCTGCCACGATTTCCAGTCCCGTAGAACATATGGCCAATTTATCCCTACACAATCGGTCGAGATCAATTGATCAGTCACGTTCCTCTGTTAATAATTTAACATCAGCTACCTCATCAGATGGTGAAAAATCACAGTTTGCCCACAGGTCATCAAGCTTAGGACGTGCCGTGTCAGCTTCGTCAATCACTTCACAGTCGAAAGCATCGGATTATTCTTTCGCTATCCCATCTGCCACAAAGCTTCGACCTTTATCTTTAGCACCAAACTCTTCTATCACATTTTCATCACGGCGATCTTCATTGCTATCGAATCAGTCGCATTCAACATCGACTTTGATGGCTTCGTCTTCAACTTTGTCCCTCGCTTCTCCGAGTGTTGATTCCAAGAGTAATTCTTCTAACATCTCAACTGGACTTTTCAATGTCGCCCAGTCGAATTCCTCAAACAATACAACACTCATTTCTTTATCTCCTAATTCCGAGAAAGCACCTCCGGCTTCTTCTTCGAATATCAAAGACGAAAGAGAATCTGAGCTTACCAAAACTGACGGCAATGTCGAAAGCAAAACCCCCGAAGTTCCCACCGAATCAAAAGATTCAGTCTCAAATGTTGTCGTTAGTCGTTGTTCTCTGACTTTGAATTCGCGCCACGAAACAGACGATACTAAGCATTGTCCGTCCTGTTGTCGCTACGACAAGTGCTTCTACATTTGAGATGGTCAATTGTATGATTCTTTGTACAGGCACTCGCGCAAGTTCAATATTAGTCATATTAATTGCCAAAGAAAGTGGGGACAGTTTCGATAAGATCGGACGATGCTTCATGTCATTTTGTGTGCAGTTCAGAAGGAATTGAAGGTTGAAGCTTGTAATGGACGCTAATTTTGACCGAGGTGAAAGAATTGAAAGATAATATTAATTTAGTGTCGATTGTGCAAACCAAAGATGAGGCATTGGGCTGCTCGGCCTATGTTGAAGTTTGAAAAATTATAACAAAACGTGGAAATTTTTTCGAGCAACAGTCAAAACGTACGACTTATTCTAGAATTCTAGTGTTAGCTTACTCTGTAATTAATTGTTTTGTGTTCAATTACATTTAGTATTTATTTCTGGTAACCTAAATTTCATTGAGCGATTAGCCGAAATTAAATCCGCGATTAAAATTAAATGAACATTACAATTAATTTCTTCACTTTCTTATTGCGTGTCATTTCCGAGTAACGTGTGTTTCCGCCTTGAATAAATAGAGTACCGGTATTCTAGATATTCGGTCCGTGTTTGCCGTGAAATCTTTGTATCGATTTATTATACTATTATATTTTATACTTTTTCGCATTGTCGCTCATTTCGCTGGATTTTCTGTTAGTATAATTTCAGTTGATGTTCATTTCTTTTGTATTGAAAATTAACAAGGTTCAAGAAATTTATTTCAAGACAATTCAATAAGAATTGCATCATGCGTTGCTTTACGTAGCGTAATGTAAGAAGGTAGTTGTACAATTTGTTGTTATGGGTACCCTTGAAGCTGTTTCGTTAGTCTTTATTCTATTGCTTTCAATCAAAGTTATATTGGTTTATGCATAAAATGTTCTAATGGAACTTTTGTTTTTCCTTTACCTTCTAGCACTTATGTACCAGCGATTATCTGGAGTCAGAAAGTTAGTGGAAAATTACTTCTGAAACTCCAGAATATTGCTCATTGGTATGGTTTAATCTAGGTAGTCGGGTAATTTCTCCAGCTTAGTTGCTGTATGGCTACTTGAAATTAAAATAAAATTCTGAAACTTGTCTTTCAATAATCAATTGCAGTAAAGGAGTGAAGAGCTGTCCCACCTCAGCCCTTATACTCAAATTTCGGAACGCACATCGCAATCTGTTACCATTGCATTAATTAAATGGAATTAGCATGACAACACGCAGCGCAAGATCTGCACAGCACGACGCGCTGCTGCGTACGTGAGCCTCGGCGCAGCAGAGCTGATAGCGGCATCCGCTAACCTCAACGAACTGATAACGCGGACGACACAGTGACCGTCGAGGCTGCGTCCTGAGACTAGGAGCGAACATTCGGGACTTGGAACCTTCGTTGAACATACAACTCTAATTCATAAATGATACTTAATTGGACATATCAGTAGCAACAAGAAATTAGTATAAAGTATTAGGAAATGAGACAGGATTATGATATTGAGGTCTTACATTTCCTCCGTTATGAGTTCTGCTGATTAATCTATAAAAAGTAAAAATCGATGGAGATTTTTGAATGAGAATGAAGGACTACAAAGACGATAGACAAATAGTTCTTTGAGTATTTTATGGAACCTCAAATTTAGAAATAATAACAATAGTTGAGAACAATGTATTTTACCCATGCTAGCGACCAATAAGAGAAAAGATTAATATATTTTAGTGTCTAATTTCGCATCACCATAAGGTGCAGAGAGGCACGGATGGATGCCGGACTAGAATATTCATCTTCTCGATAAAAATATTTCACGCTATGCATACATTATTATTCAATTAACTAACGGAGAAATGAACATTTTCTGAAGAAATACGTACCTCTTATTCATTATTTAAGGTTATTATGAACACAACTTGGCCCACATTCCAAGAATTGGAACAGCAGCCACACCTGTTGTCTACAAGATCATGATTAATTGAACAACGCTCAACTGAATGCAAGTGAAGATGAAAAGTGTTGTGATGAAAGTCAGTATCCTGTGTACCAACTTTCTGCTGTTTCTGTTGCTGGAGTTCAGTAACAGACAACAGGATGCAGTTAACTGATCCTGCACATCTGCTGATCTGGGTCAACATTTGAGTACCTGTGATGGCGGGAATGAAGATTAACAGCTCGAGAACTTTTATAACCCTAGAGTTCTTATTGAGGTAATATTTCCTCGAGAAAACGCTGTTTCTTCACCCGCACATTTAGTTCCAATACGAGAATTAAAATTTTGTTATAAAGGTTGCATAACATTAAATTAAATTGATTTTTAAAATTTTCTTTAGAAAATTATCGGGAATATTTTATCTACCCATATTCACTTTACAGGGGGTGCTTTAACGAAAAGGTAACGGAAATACTTAGTTTCAACGGATGCTGCTTCAAATTCATAAGAAGTCCGCAAAATGTTTCCCTTCGGCTCAAGGTAGTCAAGCCTCAGTTTGCTGTCGTGGTGCAACTGACAGGATGTTGTCGGTCAAGTGTGCGTTCATTTGTTTTGACTTTGAGAACATTTAATTTCGACAATTTAAGCCTTTGATAATTGTCTATAGGCGTTGCGACATCATTTATAAACGTTCATATCTCTCAGTAGGAGAATTTTTTCATGTCTTCACATGCAGGATTTCAGAGGAAGAGATCAAGCTTATTGTGATCATTTTGAAGTCTATCCAACTGTACGTCTTTAGCTGCTTTCTATAATTAAAGATACGTATAATGGTCGATCTATGATACGCCTCTAATTTAATTATAAGTATAGCTTGATGCACCAGCATGTGAATATTCTCTTTAATCAAATGATTACAATACGCGTTGCATTTAATGAGCGTAAATGTTTCAAAAACTGCGACCGGAGTTTCGTATCTTAATATTTCACTGTAACTTCCTTGCATGAGTAATATTCCTCAAATGAAGATAGGTTTGGTAATGTCAATGCTGTAATTCCTGCCGTACAAAAAATGGCAACGAGGACACAGTTCCAAGTTCCGAGTAATTCCACGACCGTCGCATCCAGACAAATTTCTTCCGCTTTCGAAGATAAATTCCCAGGTAAGTAAACTATAATTTATTGAAGCAGCTAGCCTATTGACTACCGTAGGGGCAAAAGACATGCTCTTAAAATATATATTATTATTAAATTGAATTTGAGAATTGTACACGATAATGAAAAATTGTACCGGATTTTAAATAATTTCGACTGGATGTTTTTCATGAAATTCCGTGAGATGCATTGTATACTTTTGTATATGAAAATTCGAATGCTCATTACTTATGCATTCAAAATTCAAATGTTTCACTGAAACTGACACAGTGTCGTCAGGAAGATTTGGTTTTGTAAGTGAAACCTGCTGGTGCAAACTAAAATACAATCGCTTAAAAATTCTTACAATTTATAGTAAATCTTTCGATACGAGGTTAGAGACTATGCTATATTTTAAAATCTTTTGATATGAGGTTAAAGACTATGCTATATTTAAATCTTTTCGTGCGCGTGAGATTAATGAACAGACTTGAATTTCCATAGCTTGAAGTCCTATAGTATTAAATGATCGTGATTCATGAGCGCTGGAAAATCTGGCAGTAATTGAGTCTTTGGTAGCCCGACACCGGCCGGAATAATGGAAGCTGCGATTCTGAGCCGTTTTCTTGGACAATTGCCTGTTCCAGCGGGAATGGTCTTTTGTTCTAGGACTGAGTTTGGTCAGCTGAACCATAAATAAAGCAACCACGGCAGCCTGCGTTATTTCCTCACTAGATCTGCACAGCGCCTTGACACGGTCTCTCCTTGATTATGCAGAAGTGTCGTGACTACATCTTGGAATAATTTGAGCTTTATATGTATATCGAAGTTCGAATCGCCCGCATAACTGTAGGCAAATGGCATTCACGATCTTCATCCAATATATATTTGATCCCCTAAAACTGCGAGGCTGTGATTTTCGTCCACAAGGTCCTTGATCCGTTCTCCTCGCCGACTGCATGGTTCCTGTAACGCGATCTTTTATTCCATCGGTCCTCTCCCTTGGTCACAGTGCAGTGCTGTGCCGCTTTGTCTCTAGTCGCATAATTGTTGGATGCAACCTCCTCTATATACTACAAAAGTGACTCCAAAAGCACAAGGGAAACTGCTGCTCAGAAGATTTGTTCGGTTCTGCTTGCCTTTCTCGCATTACAAGAGGCCATTATTGGCAATGAGTTGTGCTAGTGTTTCACACAGTCACAGTTTAGCTTCCGTCAAGGGGAAGGAGTGCCCACTGAAATATGAAGCTTTCAATACCTCCTGTCAACCGGTGCTGCATTTACCAAATTTAACGGCGGAACTATATTAATGTGGGATTTATTGCGATTTCCGTTGAAACCGAAATGGAATCATTGCTATAAAAAGAGGGATTTTTCTAATTCTTTTTCAAATTATATTTTTGTGGCAAGTTCTTTTCTTTGCTTAACTTTTTTATTCACATATAGGAAAACATTCGCAAAAAATACTCCAAAAATTATAAGAACTGATAGAACGGCTACTTGAGAACGGCCTTATACTGTATATGCTAATGAGCTTCGCAGGCGACAAAGGCGGTAAATAATACCATATCACGACTAGGGGTATTAAACAGTAAACCGTAAGGTACTAAAACTAGGTAATCCTCATTAAACAAGCCTCGGATAAACATTGCAAACATTGCAACAGCAACAACAAAATTTCATTAAACATTTGTGCATTGTAACAACTGTAATATATAATTACCGAATACTAAAACCCACAGTTTCTCCTTCACTGGCAGCGCTTAGGCCTCGCCAGCATTATGGTCGGGACGCCTCTCCTTCCCTGTTAATTATCGAGCAGATTTTTCAAAGTCTTGTTGGCTGCGTCTTCGAACGAGAGCTCCGACACTTCTATTATCCAAGCCGATTCATCATCCGCCATTTGTGTGGTGCTTGGCGTTTATGTTAGTCCTGTAAAACCTCAGACTTAATCATGTTAAAACTTACCCTTCGTGAGTAGGGTAAGTTATTTTACTATTAATTGTCCAGTAGCTACAATAAACTCGTTTGATAATTATGGCCTACTTCGTTTGATACAAAATAACATGAAAATATACGATTCATTAAAATTTCATGCATAGCGTGAAACTTTGATTTGTCTTGAGCATCACAATTTCGTTGCGCGGTTTTCAAAAAGACGATTAGCAAAACGGCGTATAAAGAAATCCATTGGTCCCGGGAATAATAAATGAAATTCAAAAATATACATGGCTTTTTCAATTGTGTCGCATTGTACGCTTGATTGCCCAGGAAATAATTTCCTTAAAAGGCCGTACACGGAAAAATAACCTTCTCTGCCACTTGCGTGTCGGACTGAGTGATGTGCTCTGAGGTCTTTGGTTCGTGTTCAAGATGGAACAAATTGTCCCATTGAAGCTCAATCGCGGTGGCAAGAATTTATTCTAAGGATAATTTGGTGGCGTTGTTGTGGCAGCGGTGAATAGAAGTCACTATAGAGAAGTGATGGCCTCTGTTGCACTCGAAAAATTGGCAGGAAATTGCCTTACTTCTTTGTATTTCGTACTCGGACAATTCGTATTAAAAGTTTTACGAAGTCCGATCAGCTGGACTCTAGGATGCACTGAAATTCTACCGGAAACATTTATCGATGTATCGTTAAGAAGTTCGAAATCGGGAATTCCCTAAAATAAAAATAAAAATTATGTGAAAAGTATAAATTGATCTGTTTTTTCACAGTTTATTACTCATTACCCTTGTCAGCCAAGCATGAATGATTTGAAAGTGATTAACTTATTAAATAAATAGTTGAAATGTTAGTTTAGGTAAATTAAGATCAATTTTCGGAATTTTATTTATCTGTATTAAATTC